CACCGGGATCATGAATCTGCAGCTGGGATTTTGTGAGAGGAGCATTTTCCCCCTCTTACCGTGTTTTCCGTTTCGTGGGGAACTGGCGGGCGGGCGCGTCAGTTGAATGCAGCGGGTTGCGAGGAACCCGGATTTCTGGTAGAGTTTAACGGGAACGGGGGGCGAGTTTATTTGGCAATGACATGATGGTTGAGTAGACTAATCGTAATTCGCAGGGCAAAAGTGTACCCGGCGCTTATGTTGCGTTCCTGACGTGATTTACAGTGTTGGGCTGGACATTGTGTGCCACATGGCTTTGAGGGTTTGCGGAAGAGTTCCGTCGAGTAATCCCCCCCACGTCATTGGTGCTGATCATGCTACTTTGGCAGCAAAGTCCTGAGAGGAATGCGCTAGAATGGGAGATACGACTCAGCAGTTTGCATGATGAGATTGATGGTGTCGCCTCGCGCGGTGCTACGGTTTACTAGAGGAGGCAACCCCGTCTCGTGATGATTTGGAGGAATTCGACGGCGGTAGGCGGCGCTGGAAGCCTTTCGCTGGTGCTGACGCCGATCGGAGCGCATTCCGGAGAGGGGCACTGGGCTGGGGGGGTAAATTGCATTGCCAGGACGAGGCGACACGATGCTTCGCTGCACTCTAACTAAGACTTTGCCTCGCCATCATGAAAATAGCAGCTGGATCGTGGGGAACGCAACAGGTAGAGTAGGCACGGAAAAAGCTGCGACGAACTCGGACCAGGTGCTCCGTGGCTGGGAGGCAGGCAGCGTTAACGCATTCTTCAGGTTCGTCTGCAGCGCAAGGCAATGGAATACCCGCCGAGGCCGTGCATCGCGCAGTGCTTTGAAATCCCAGAACCTTCTGTGGAATCCGTGCCGAATCTAATCGGCGCAATCGACGAGAGACTGGGGAGGGGATTTTGAGGCAGGATTGCAAAAGAAAAACGGTGCGGTGGAGCCTTTGGACATGCCTTCATTCCTTGGTTTCCCCATGTTCTTAGTGCAACCGGAAAGTTCGGTCGGGGGATATCATGCAGTAATAATGGTCGGCGAGCCTCGGAGCTGGATGGCTTCCCAAGTGGGCCCGACGGACGGATCGGGCGGTTCGGAGGAGTGGAGGGTCGGCGAGCGGAGGAGTGGGGACGTGGATGCACCGGCGGGCTCCGTTTCACCGTCGGAAGGGACGGCAGACGCAGAGTTCACGAAGCCTGCCAGGTCTCCCATCGTCGCCTTCAGCTTCCTCATTCCTTCCACCGTTTCTAGGTTCTCAGGATCAGGATAGCACCGTTTGCTGAGTTGTCCTCCCAATGCGCTGGCCGCCTCGCAGAGTCGGATGTCCGGTGCTCGGACGCGCTCCTGCCAGCCGGAGGCCTGTCACTGTTTCGACGTGTCCAACATCAGCCGCGCGTCGGCTGCAGAGTCCGGGGTAAAGATTGAAATGGCAGGCTGGGGAGATGTTGAGGAGAGCCAGTGCGTCGGGGTCTCCGAGTGCTGGTTTCGGTTGATGGGCTTTTGTTGAAACTTGCTCAGATTACGTGGTTGTTGACGAAGGGGTTTGGCTTCAACTCGCCAGTTTTGGAGCATCAACTAACAGACGATTCATATATGCAACTTCTTGAGCCTCAAGGTCCTGGCGATGAAAGCCTACGCCATCTGGTCAGTTGGCCATACCCTACGTCGCAGGTACTCGTCTGCCAGGTTTAAGGGCATCGCGAGGGCATAGGTTTGATGGGACGCCTTCCTGACTTTACCCAAACCACGTAGGTAGGGCATCCTCTAAGACGGTCTGACATCAACTCAACCATGGTGATGGGCCATTTGGGTTGGAGTGTATCAGACAGCAGAAGCATACGCAATTGGGAAAACAACGATAACATGATAAATGGCTTGCTATTAGCTCATATGATCGTGATCTTGACGCCGGACCCAATCGGTGAAAATGACTTGCTGAAATGTCGCTCGGTACATGCTGACAAAGGGAATAACCTCCCTGCTACTACGCGGGAGCCTTACTCCTTCTTCTCCTTCTTGCCCTCCTTGTCGTCCTTCTTCTCATCCTTGGCCTTCTTGTCATCCTTGTCCTTCTTCTCGCCCTTGGCCTCGTCCTTCTTGTCTTCCTTCTCAGTATCCTTCTTCTCATCCTTGCTGTCATCCTCTTCGCCACTAGACTTCTCTTCTTTGCCCTTGGACTTCTCCTTCTTCTCATCCTTGCCTTCGTCGCTCTTCTCGTCCTCGGAGCCATCCTTGGACTCATCCTTGGACTCCGACTCAGAGTTTGACTCATCCTCTTCAGAGTCGTCCTTGTTTTCATCCGAGTCATCCTTCTTCTCAGCGCCCTTTTCCTCCTTCTTGCTCTTGCCGCCCTTCTTAGCCTTCTTCTCTTCAGCCTTCTGCTTCTTCTCCTCTTCCTTCTTCTTCTTCTCCTCCTCCTCCTTCTCCTTCTTGATCCTCTCACGCTCCTCCTCCTCCAACTTGTCCCAATCGCGGGTCTTGTCGGTCTTGGCCCAGTGTTTGCTCTCGGCAAGTTCTTGACCAATGTGAGGCTGAGCGTTTCCAATCTTGGTGCGGCCAACCAAGCTGATGAAGATAGAGACACCAACTATGGCAGTCAAGATGAAGCGGTATGTTCCGTACCACTGCGGGGTCCAGCCCCTGTTCTTCGCACGAGTGTCTGCGAGATAGAGGAAGGTGAATGCACCGAATTGGGCAGTTAGGGCATATTCGATCGGCATGAGGAGAGTCGGCCAGGCGAGCATGGGAGCGAGAACACCCATGCCGTAGCGGAACTTTGTACGAGTCGCCGAAGGGGTCTTTTCGGAGTATTCCATTCCCTGCAACTTGGTTAATCTTTCTGCTCCAATATTGGGGTGGTGCGCTTGGGCTTACCCAGTGAACAGCGCCGAGAAAGGAGATGATGATGGCTCCGTAGCCAAGTTGAATGGGCTCAAGCAAGCTGAGCCAGTACTGCGCAGACTCCTGGTTCATGTAGATGTTGTTTGCAAAGGTCGAAGACGACGGCCACTCAAGATTGATATCCCAGCTGAGATACATGGTGCTCAACGAAGTTGCCAGGTAGGGTAGGGTGCCGGCCAGACCAAGAGCGTACGGTTCCCTGGGAACTTCGCTCAAGTTGAAAGTGTCTTTGACGATGTTCTGAAAGACCTTTGTCAGTGGTCGAAACTAATGGATCGCGGATGTAGACGTACCAATTCCTCTTTCAATCCCTTTTGGAGATCCTGGTCGCGCTCGGGATTGGCAGGCGCAGGCTCAAAGACATGGCGCGTTGAGGACTCGGTCGAGACGTGCTCCGGATCCGATTCGAGCTTCTTCTTTGCGATCTCTGCCTCGGCTTTCTTGTCGATCTTGTCATACGGAGAGTTTGTGTAGCGGGCAACAAGTGACAGCGGGGAGAGCCGGGGTTGGAGAGCCACCGAAGGCCTCCTGGAGCTTTGAAGAGCAGAGGGCGAGGCTCTCGTGGAGAAGGAGGCGGGAGAAGCTGCTGAAGGAGCCGCCGCTGAGCGCGGGGCCAGACGCAAAAGCTGTCGCGAGGAGCGAAGCATCGTGAAGGTGTTCGGTTCTTTCAGGAGCGCTAGGAGAGGAAAGTGAGAGTCTTGGAAGGTCGAACACGTTGATCGTGTACCCGGATGTCTGTCAATTGGGCAATTGCTTCTCACAGCAGATAAAAAACGTGTGTTCAGTCGCTGGTGCAGGTTTTGGGGAAATGACGAGCCAAGCAGTGAAGAAGGAATTTATTTGAGTGTCTCGTCTCTAGACCAAGGCCCGGCAGGGTAGCTGCCGATTGCTTCACATTGATGTAAGGCAAGTCCCGCCCATCGGATAACTAGCACGGCAGAAGCAGGGCAGCAACAGCAGCTTTCCCCTCTGCTTTTCGATCCAGGCCGATCTAATTAGTCCAGCCATCCAGCCATCCAGCCAGGCCTGGGCCAGCCTATTCGGTATCACAGGGCAGCGGGAACACAGCTGCTACTGCTCCTGCTGCTGCGAGGGAGGGGAGGTGCGCACCTGGCTGGGAGCTCTGGCTTCGCGCTGGTCGTGGTGACGTAATGTGGAGACCTTGCCCATGTCCACGCCCGGGCCAGAGGCTCCGCATTGGACGAACAGCTGCTGGGGTGGGTGTGACGTTATCAAAGGATGGCCCAAGCTTCTCCAGTCTGCTACCTGGTGGGAATGTTTCGCTGCCGCTGCTCGCCATAGAGTTGTGGGTAAAATCATCGAAAAATCTCACAAGTAAATATGAGTGTTGGATTATACGATGGCGTCTTTGGTCGATTTTGGAAAATTGTTCGAGGAAGTTGTGAGGCCTACTTGCAGCCGCCTCATGTGCCACTTCCCAGCCCACGAGAGGACGTGCCCTTCGGCGCTAACTGCATCTAGTAAGGCTGCAGTAGACCTACCCCGCCGTGGCTCAACGCTTCGAGCGCCACAGTCTGGGCCAAGCTGGCGGCCTGTTTTTGGCACTGCACTGCGGGGGAGAATCGAGAATCAGGCAGCGTCATCATGCACAAACACCCAGCTCGACACCAAACCCCAACCCTGTCGCTCGTTGCCTTCCCGCCCCAACATCGCACGCAACACACCTGCCGACAGATCTGTCCTTGTCGAGGTCGACGTTATACAGTTCCTCGACTTGGCAACTTTCGCTTAGTTGTCATCCCACCTCCGGAGACACGGCGAGCGGCACACGGCAGCACGCCCCATCGACGAGCCACCATCGATATTACCTGTTCCTGGGAGAAAAAAAAAAGATACCCAACCCAATATTATCACGACTACGACCTGATTCACGACCCCCGTCCCCCATATCCCGAGTCCGACTATCCTTTCATGCCCGCAGAGCCCCTCCGGACCTGACCCCGCCTGCCCCGATCGAGCTCTACGGCCCTCCGACGCTCTCCCTCCCTGTCCATGCCTCCAACGGCCGCACCACGATAGATACCCAACACTGAGTTTCCCTCGCCAGGGTAACGGCGCCATATATACACCATGTTGGAGGGACTCGTTGCCGGCCTGCTCAACAGGTTTCTGGGCATGTACGTCAAGAACTTCGACCCAGCACAGCTCAAGGTCGGTATCTGGTCTGGCGATGTCAAGCTCAGGAACCTCGAGCTGCGGAGGGAGGCCCTCGACCAGCTGAAGCTTCCCATCAATGTCATGGAAGGCCACCTCGGCGAGTTGACCCTCATCATCCCGTGGTCCAATCTCCGTGGAGCCCCCGTCAAGGTCTTTATCGAAGATGTCTTCCTGCTTGCCTCTCCAAGGGAGGAAGCTGCCTATGACGAGGACGAGGAGGAGCGCAGAAAACAGAGAATCAAGATGGAGAAGCTCGACTCGGCCGAACTCCTCAAAGAGAGATCACAAGAAGGCATGAGCCAAGAGGAGCAGCAAAAGAGCCAGAGCTTCACGCAGAGCCTGGTCACCAAGATCGTCGACAACCTGCAAGTCACGGTCAAGAACATCCACATCAGATACGAAGACTCCATCTCCGCACCTGGCCACCCCTTTGCTCTTGGTGTCACGCTGGAGGAGTTCAGCGCGATCAGTACCAACGGCGAGTGGAAACCAACTTTCATCCAAGATTCCACCAAGAGCACCCACAAGCTCGCCACCCTCGGCGCCCTTGCTGTCTACTGGAACACAGACACAGAGCTGCTTGGCCCGGGACGAGAGATCACCACCGACGACGACGAGCCCATGCCCCACGACGAGATGGTTAGCAAGTTTAAGAGCTTGATTGGGTCGACAGAGGATACGAAGCTCAACCACCAATTCATCCTACGTCCTGTCAACGGAAAGGCTAAGATAGTTCTCGACAAGACGGGTGACATTCACGTACCCAAAGCCAAGGCAAGCTTGCTGTTCGAGGAGATCGGCCTGGTCATCGATGACGACCAATACCGCGATGGCCTGATGATGGTGGACCTCTTCCATTACTTCATCCGACACCAGGAATACAAGAAGTTCCAGCCAAAGGGCGTCACACCAAAGGAGGATCCCAGAGCATGGCTCAAGTTCGCCGGAGATGCGGTGCTCAGCAAGATTCACGAGAAGAACCGCAGGTGGTCATGGGACTACTTCCGCGAACGGCGTGACGATCGCAAGCGCTACATTGAGCTGTTCAAGAAGAGGAAACAGCAGCAACAGCTGTCCTCGCAAGAAGGCGACGACATTAACAAATTGGAGTGGAAGCTCGACTACGAAGACTTGCGGTTCTGGCGATCCCTGGCACGAAACCAACTCAAAAAGGAGAACGCTGAAGCCCTGAAAAACCAGCCCCCTAAGCAACAACAACAAGGCTGGGTGTCCTGGGTCTGGGGTGGCGGCGCGAAGCAACCGGAACCTCAGAACGACGACGAGAACACGCAGATCACAGAGGAGCAACGCAAGGAGCTTTACGACGCTATCGATTGGGACGAGAAGACAGCTATCGCCGAATCCGTTGACGTACCTCGAGACACCGTCAAGATGCAGGTTGAGGCATGGCTGAGCACAGGAAGCTTCACTCTCAAGAAAAGCCACAATGGCAAGAGAAGCGACCTCCTTAGTCTTCACTTCGACGTGTTCAAGGCCAAGGTCTTACAGCGCCCCGACTCTTTCCTTGCCGACGTCAGCCTGGGTGGCCTCCGTGTCAACGATGGCACCACTCCCGACTCCCTCTTCCCCGAGATTGTTCGCGTCAAGGATGCACCTGAAGTCCACGAGCACAAACAGCTGACCATTGAAGAGTTGGAGGATAACGAGGATGAACCCTTCTTCCACTTCGAGGTTGAACAGAACCCTATCGATAAGGAGGGCGACATAGCACTGTCCGGCTCTCTCAAACCTTTGGAGATTGTGTGGAACCCGAACTTCGTGGTTGGCGTTGCCGACTTCTTCAGACCTCCAGAGAGGCACATGGAGTCCATCACCGCCCTCATGGAGACCGCCGGTGCCACGGTAGAAACCTTCAGGGAGCAGACACGGGCTGGTCTTGAGTTCGCCCTCGAGGAACACAAGACCATCAACGCCCAGCTCGACCTTCAGGCCCCTCTCATTATCGTACCAGTCAGCATTAACGTCAAGGAGTCCACCTGTCTGATTCTGGATGCCGGTCACATCAGCGTCAACAGCGAACTGGTTGATCAAAACACCATGAAGCAGATCCAATCCAAACAGCGACAATCATACACGGACGAAGACTTCAAGCGGTTGGAGTCCGTCATGTACGACAAATTCTTGGTCAAGCTCTCCTCCACTCAGGTACTGATAGGACCATCCATCGAGGTTACAAAGGCTCAGCTAGCCGAGAAAGATGACACACAACATCTCCATGTGGTGGAGCGCATCAATGTGGACTTTGTGGTTGAAACTTCTATCCTCCCCAAGGCTCCAAACTTGACCAAGCTCAAGGTGTCCGGCCACTTGCCGCTACTGCACGCAACCGTGTCGGATACCAAATACAAGAACTTGATGCGGATCATTGACGTCGCCATCCCCAAGTTCAACCAGGATAACGATCAACCGGAGCAGATCAAAGACTCACAGAGCTCCGCTGTGACGACTAGACCTCGTGGCTTGAGCACCGCATCGACTCGATCTCGCTCTCGTAAAGAGTCTTCCCGCCGCAAATCAGCACAATTCCCCTTCATGCAGCAACAGACTGCGATTGTGATTGACGACGATGACGAAGACAGTGATGAGTTCGAGGATGCCGACGGCGGCCGAGACAATAAGGAACAGCTCAAGCTACAGCAGCGCTCTTTCGAGTTCAAGTTCAAGGTCGATACCCTCAAGGGCTCTCTATACCGTAGTGACCCAGACAAAAAGAAGCCCGACGCGCTACTTGTCGAGCTTGTCGCCGAAAACTTTGATCTTCTGTTCTACCTGCGACCATACGACATGTCAGCTGAAGTGTCTCTTGGGTCGGTCACTATCGATGATTTCGTCGACAATCCCTCGGCGGAGTTCAAGTCGATCGTGTCATCAGGGGATCCTGATGATCACGAGCAGAACCGCAGTCTCGTCAGTGTGAAATTCACAAAGGTTAATCGCCTTTCACCAGAGTTCATGCCAGTGTACGAAGGCGTGGAGACGAACGTCACAGCTGCGATCTCCACCATCAATCTAGTCGTGACTCGGAAAACGCTCTTGACTCTGTTGGACTTCATCTTGGCAACATTCACCGGTAACAACAACGAAGCGGCAACGCCTCAAGAGCAGAAGGCAATCTCCGATTCGGAGGATGACAGCGAGGAAGATGTCGAGATCGCAATCGACAGCCCCCCTGAGGATGCACCTGCAAATTCAGGCTCGATCAGGGTCAAGGTGGACCTTAAGAGTATCCGGCTGATCCTCAACAACGACGGAATTCGCTTGGCTACGTTGTCTTTCAACCACGCGGACGTCGGGGTTTTCCTTTTGGGCAAGACAATGCGGGTGAATGCCAAGCTGGGCAACCTCAATTTGGTCGACGACATTAACCAAGGCGTCTCCGAGGAGTCTAACTTGAGGCAACTCATCTCCATCCAAGGTGACGAGCTGGCTGATGTCAGATACGAGACCTTCGACGCTACCAACAAGAAGGCGTACCCTGGATATGACTCGTCGGTCTATCTTCGGGCTGGATCAGTGAAGCTGAACTTCCTTGAAGAGCCATTCAGGAAGATCATCCAGTTTTTGGTCAAGTTTGGCAAGATGCAAGCCATCTACAATGCTGCTCGTCAAGCCGCCGCAAACCAGGCCAACCAAATCCAACAGAGCACGTCCAGATTCAAGTACGATGTGGTTGTCAAGACTCCAATCGTGGTCTTCCCTCGTGTGGTCAACCACGGCCAGCCCAAGCGTGACGTTGTCACTGCATACTTGGGAGAGATTTATGCACAAAACAAGTTCGCTCCTTTGGATGACTCCGAGAACTCCCAAATAGCAACCAAGATCAACGCTGGTATCCGAAACATCCGCCTCACTTCTGACTTCAACTACCCGGGAGATCTCTCCGAAGAGCTGGAGCTGATTGACAAGGTTGATTTGGGTTTCAACGTCACGTACGCGGAGCATCAAGACGGCACGAAGCGCCCCGAACTGGAAATTGAGGGCAGCATGTCTGATTTCAATCTCAAACTCACACAGTATCAACTCCGCTTCTTGATGGAGATCTCCAAGTCCGTTCCGGCGGCGTTTGCCGGCGATGCCGACGAGCAGAACCAAGAAGCCGAGCGCGAGGTAGACAAAGACACTCTTCAAAGGGCGAAGTCACTGCCAACCGATAAGAGCAAGGGCGATGAGCAGCAACTAGTTGACCTCGGGCCTGAACTTTCACCCAAAGACAAAACATGGACGAAGCTTGACCTGGTCTTCCAAGTCAACACTATTGGTATGGAGCTGATTTTGGCCCCTGACGAAAAGCCAGTCGGCAAGCTTGAAGATGCTAGCCTTTCGCGCTTTTCCCTGGACGTCACCAAAATGAAGACGCGGATGCTTAATGATGGGTCTCTTGAGGGCGAGTTCCTTATCCACTCGTTCACCATCTATGACAGCCGCCCGAGGGACACTAATAAGTTCCGGCGAATCATGACATCGTCCAACAAGGAGGTGCAGCAGCTCATGGCGAGCATCACGATGTCTGGCGGACAGGACAGGAACCTCATCGCCATCGTTACTATCGACAGCCCCCGAATCATCTTCGCCCTCGACTATCTCTTCGCTATCCAGAACTTCGTCATGGTTGGTCTACAGCCCGAGGAACCTTCGATTGTCGACGATGAGTCGTTATTGATCGACACCCCTGACGAGTCCGATGCGGACGCAGACTCGATGCAGGTTACTTGGTCAAAGGCCCGATCGCAGAAGAGCAGCAAGAACGAACAGGAGGAGACCCAAGATGGCGGAGACGAGAAACCCCAGACCACCATGAGCATCGCCTACAGGGTAAACATCGTCGACGCTCAAGTCATCCTGATCGCCAACCCTCTCAGCTCGAGCTCCGAGGCCATCGTTCTTGGCACCAAGCAAGTTTTGTTGTCCCAACAGCATGCTTTGACATTCCAAGTATCCGAGATTGGCATGTTCCTCTGCCGCATGGACCGCTTTGAGGATTCCCGACTTCGGATTATCGATGACTTTTCCGTCCAAATGTCCATGGATAGCTCGAAGCCGAACATCACTAGCATCCATGCTGACATTGAGCCGTTGATTCTTCGTCTGTCTCTCCGAGATATCCTACTCGCTCTCCAGATTGCCAGCAAAGCCACAGAGCTCTCTGACCAGCAACCGAAAGACCCGAAGTTGTCGTCATCGGCCGCAGATGAGAAGGCGAGACAGTTACGCCAAGCTGGTCTTAAGCAGCGAACAGCCAGCGGCAAGGGACCGTCAACCATTGCGAACAAGACCATGATGTCGAAGACACAGACGCAAAAGATTGCAGCATCTCAGGCTAGACTAGCGAACAGTGATCCTCGCGGAACGGCGGTCCAGCAGCCACCCAAGCGGCACGAAGAGCTGTCTGCGACAATTGAAGGAATTCGTGTTGTCCTTATTGGCGACGTTCACGAACTTCCTATCCTCGATCTTGGAATCAAGAACTTCACCGCCACGGCCGAAGACTGGTCTTCGAATCTCAAGGCTGAGACTGCCATCGACTTATACACGAACGTCTACAACTTCTCCAAGTCCGCATGGGAGCCACTTCTTGAACCCTGGCAAGTTGGTATCGGAATGGCCAAGGATGCTCAGTCTGGTCTAATGTCCATTGATGTCGCCTCCAAGAAGGTCTTTGACGTTACTTTGACAACCGCCACCATCGCTTTGGCGTCCAAATCTTTTGCTTTCCTCAGCAAAGACGAGGACGTCCTCGGCAAGCCGCGCGGCGTCGATGCGCCGTATCGAATTAGGAACTACACTGGATTTGATGTGGTGGTGCAGTCAAAGAGCTCGACTACAGACGACAATATGACGGCCCGTCTAGAAGACGGTCAAGAGGTACCATGGAGCTTCGAGCCTTGGGAGAAAATGCGTGAGAATCTCTCATCCGAGAGCAGCACCGGTAGTGTCGGCATCCACCTAGAAGGCAGTGGCTTCGACCCAGTCAAAAACGTCAGGTTGAACCGTGAGGGAGAGGCAATCTACGGTCTCAAACCCAAGACTGACAACATCTTGCATCGTCTCCTGGTTGAAGTTACCCTTGGCAAGGACAACGTCAAGTATGTCACCCTTCGATCACCTCTTGTCGTGGAGAACGAGACCCAAATTCCCGTTGAATTGGGTGTCTACGACGCACAAGAGGGGCATCTCCTCAAGATCGAAAAGATTGCCCCAGGCGAAAGCCGGCCGGCGCCCGTCGGAGCCGCATTCCTCAAGTCCCTCCTTGTGCGTCCCGACTCCGGATTTGGCTATGCTTGGTCGTCGGAGACCCTTTGGTGGCGAGACTTGTTGAAGCGACCTACAAGAACGATGGTCTGCAAGGGCGAAAACGGAGATCCGTTCTACTTCCAACTGAACGCTACATTTGACAGATCCAACCCATTGACCAAGTAAGTTCTCATGACACTCCTTACATCACTGTTCTAATGACCCTACAGGAACTATCCTTACATGCGCATCAAGTTGTCGCCACCAGTGATCCTCGAGAACTTGTTGCCGTACGACTTCAAGTACCGCATCTACGACAAGAACACCAAGAAAGACTGGGCAAACTTCCTTCGCAAGGGTGGCCTTAGTCCGGTACACGTCGTTGAGCTTTCCCATCTTCTTCTTCTCAGCGTCGACATGCAAGACACTGTATTCAAGCCCAGCGACTTTGCCATTATCAACTCTGGGCAGTCGGACGATTTCAAGAAGGAAGACAAGCTTCTCTGCAAGGATTCCGATGGCCTTCAACTCAACCTGAAACTGCACTACCACAAGATTCCCAACAGTGGAGGTGCATTCCGAGTAACGGTCTACAGCCCCTACATCATCCTGAACAAGACTGGCCTGGACATGCAGATTCGCGCGAAGGGGTTCTTGCAAGGAGCTCGACCAGCCGCAGGCCAATCCACGTTGTCCTACAACAGGTCTGAAAGAGACCGCCCCAAGGCAACGCCGTTTATGTTTTCCTTCGGCAACGACGACCATAGGAACCGCACGCTGTTGCAGATTGCCGACTCGGAATGGAGCAAGCCGCAGAGCTTCGACGCTATTGGCAGTACAACCGAGGTGGTGCTACCCTCTCCTTCTCGAAACACTGAAGTACACATCGGAATCACCACTGAGGCGGGTGAGGGCAAGTACAAGATGACCAAGGTTGTCACCCTGGCACCGCGATTCGTCCTGGAGAACAAGCTTGGCGAGGAGATCAATGTCAGAGAGTCTAGCTCATCGGGATTCATGACTCTCAAACCTGGCGCACACCAGCCTCTGCACTTCATGCAGAAGACTGCCGTCAAGCAACTCTCCCTCTGCCATCCCGGGATGAATAACCAGTGGACTTCTCCTTTCAACATCTCTGACATTGGCACGACCCACATCAAGATCGCGAAGGCAGGGCAGAGGCAACGACTGATCCGCGCCGAAATCTTGATGGAGGGAGCCACAGTCTTCTTGCATCTCAGTATGGAGACCAAGAATTGGCCCTACCAGATGAGGAATGAGAGTGACACCGAGTTCACCTTTTACCAAGCGAACCCTAGCCTGGAGGATGATGGCGTTGAGGACAGATCCGGGTGGAGACCCATCAAGTACCGTTTGCCTCCGCGCAGCATCATGCCTTACGCTTGGGATTTCCCTGCCGCCAAGTTCCGCGAGATCATCATCAACGTCAATGGCAAGGAGCGACACGTCAAGCTGGCTGAGATCGGTAATCAGATTCCAATGAAGTTCACCTCTGCGTCTGGGCAGCAGAAGATTATCGACATCAATGTCGCCGCCGACGGTCCGACTCAGACTTTGATCCTGTCCAACTTCCGACAATCCAAGAGTCTTTACAGGCAAAAGTCCAAGTCTGGCGCTCGTACCAGCACCGATGGATTCGAGGTCAAGGATCAGGAGACAACTGCGACATTCCGAGCCCAGCTGAAGCTTTCGGGTATCGGAATCTCACTCATCAATTCGCAACTGAAGGAGCTCGCCTACGTCACCTTCAGAGATGTCTCCCTTCGCTACCATGACGCGCCGCTCACTCAGACGGTCAGCTTCTCAGTGAAGTGGATCCAGATCGACAATCAGCTTTACGGCGGCCTGTTCCCAATGATCCTGTACCCTAGCGTCGTCCCGAAGAGAGCTCAAGAAGTCGACGCGCACCCCTCGATTCACGCCATGGTCACCCGCGTGAAGGATGATTCCTATGGTGTGCTGTACATCAAATACGCCACCGTTTTGATGCAGCAGATGACGATTGAACTGGACGAGGATTTTGTCTATGCTGTTCTTGACTTTTCAAACATTCCTGGAGCTGCATGGTCTGACAGTAATGAGGAGGGCAAGCTCTGCGACGAAGAGCTCGACATTCCGGAGCCGAATCAGCAACAATCTGGCCAGGATATCTACTTCGAGTTACTGAACATCCAGCCCATGCAACTCGACCTCTCCTTCATGCGCACGGAGCGCGTCAACGCCGAGGACAAGACATCATCGCGCAACCCGTTGATGTTCTTCCTCAACGTCATGACGATGGCTATCGGAAACGTCAACGATGCACCCATTCGTCTCAATGCTCTTATGCTTGACAATGTTCGAGTGTCGGTTCCTGCTCTAACCCAGAACATCTCGAATCACTACAGTCAGGAGGTGCTCTACCAAATCCACAAGATTCTAGGCTCTGCCGACTTCCTGGGCAACCCTGTGGGCCTGTTCAACAACATCAGCTCAGGATTGACTGATGTCTTTTACGAGCCCTACCAAGGACTCATCCTGTCGGACAAGCCCGAAGACTTCGGAATCGGCGTTGCCAAGGGTGCTGCATCCCTGGTGAAGAAGTCTGTTTATGGCTTCTCTGACTCCTTTTCCAAGTTCACTGGCAGTCTGTCCAAGGGTCTCGCAGCTGCAACCCTCGACAAGCAATTCCAAGATCGACGCCGCATCACCCGCGCCCGAAACCGCCCCAAGCACGCCCTATACGGTGTCACCACAGGTGCAAACTCCCTTTTCACAAGTGCTGCATCCGGAGTTGGTGGCCTGGTGCGCAAGCCGCTCGAAGGCGCGGAGCAGGAAGGAGCGCTCGGATTCTTCAAGGGTATCGGCAAGGGAGTCGTTGGATTTGCAACCAAGCCCGCTATTGGCGTCTTGGACATGGCCTCGAACGTTTCTGAGGGTATTCGAAACACAACGACCGTCTTTGATGGCTCAGAACTCGACCGTGTTCGCCCTGCGCGTTTCGTGCCGTCTGACGGTATCGTGCGCCCGTACAATGCCCGTGAAGCTCTCGGCCAGTCCTGGCTAAAGCAAGTCGACAACGGAAAGTACTTCAACGAGAACTACATTGCACACCTTGAGCTGCCTCGCGAAGACATGGTGGTCATGGTCACTTACGCCCGGATTCTGCTTATTCGCAGCCGGCGTCTGACATCGGAGTGGGACGTGCCTCTCAAGGACGTTCAGACAATCGCAAAGGAGCGAACGGGCCTGAGCCTGACCCTCAGAGGCGGCACAAATGGTCCATTCATTCCCGTCGGCGACGAGAGCGGGCGTGCCTTCCTGTACAAGATGGTGGCTGTCGCTGTGGAGGAGTTTAACAGGAGGTTCAGAGGATTGGAGTAAATGAGGATTGGCGAGACAAACGCACACGGGCTGTGGTTATGGATGCCAGGCCGCTTCATACCTGTTGTTTCTATCTTTGTTTCCTTTCTTTAGAGGCTCTTCAGGCATAGCCTCGCGATTTCCTAGCGAGCATACCTTATTTGGCGTTTCGGATCCCTTCTCACTCGTATACGTATGAAAACAGAAATACATGGATATTGAATAGGCACATGATATCTGCATGAGTAAGGTGACTTGAAAGTTGTGGGATTATGATTTCCCAATTGTCCCCTACCGAAAGGGACTCGATTTGCCTTCTATGGTCTTTGCAGGTTCTATGGTCTACGTCTGTCTAATGTCGTGTCTCGTGCCTCGTGTCTATGCTGTGCCCGCCTCTATAATTGTGTCTATTCTAAGCCCATCCGATCCTCAGAAGCTTGTAGCCGCTCTCGTCGCCGCGTCCGACCTCCTTGCGCTTCTCAATGATTTCGTTGTACAAGATGGTCAGCTGCTTGCCATCTTCACCGCGCGGGCGGTCACTCGCCGTAAACGCGCCCTCCACCGTGTCGCTGACCCCGTTGAACTTACCGTTCCGGCGAACAGTCACCAGCAGCCAGAAAACCCCGCCCGGCGCGAGCAGCTGCGTCGCGCAATCCCTCAGCCACGTCGCGTGCTCCGGAGCATAGATGACATCCGTCGCAATGAGGATCTCCGCCGGGGTGTCGAGGGGTGCGCGCAGGTCAGGCGCAGACCAATCCAGTGTTGTCGTCTTGATGAGGCTTGCCTCCACCGCCGAAGGAGAGTTGATGGCGACATTGGCCTTGAGATTCTCGAGCACTGCTGGGTGGTAGTCGGTTGCGACGATGGTTGACTCTGGCGCGCCGAGGTGAGGGAGTATGTTCCCGAGCACCAAGCTGACGAGACCCGTGCCGGCGCCGAGTTCGATGATGCGCGGCGACGAGCGGAGGCTGGGTTGAGTGAGGCCGAAGCGAGCCGGATCCGCGCACATCAAGTCCGAGAGCACGATGGATGCACCCCAGCTTTGCAAGCCGACGTCATCAGGGTCGGCGGAGTTCGTGCCTGCAAGCCGGTCGTTGAGGCGCACGGTGACGGGTACGCGGTTCTCTTTCTCGGGAAGCGAAAGCTCAAAGGAAAAGTCGCGCGTGTAGTCCTGGTCCTTCTCATCCTCGGCTTCATCGTCCTCCGCGGGCGCGAAAAAGGACTCAAGGACGCAGGAGGCCTGGTCCAGGGCGAGCTGGCAGGCTTCCTCGGACTCAAAGCAGGAGAGGGTCTCGGCGCGGGCGATGAAGCCGGTCAGCCAGCGCTCGACGAAGCTGCGTTCGAAGGCGTCGACGCGGAGGGCGGCGATGTGGTGGTCTACGCCGTCGACCTCCTCATGGTCGTCGTCGGTCTCGGATACGTAACCGGAGTCGACTGCGGGCGAGGCATGGTGAGGCAATTTGTGATCCGGGTTGAGCTGGAAGGCGACGGAGACGGGCAGTGAGCAGTAGATTGTCGAGAGGGAGTGGAGGGCGGCGGTGATGTCGGACTCGGTGAGGGTGTCGAGTGTCCGCAGGGGTGGGAGGCTGCTCGATGGCGGCGCGGGGTGTGCGGCCGGCCTCATTTATGTAGCCCGTCTCCAGTGCCGTCGCGCTGGTGTTGGCGGTGGTGGTGATGTGGATGGATGGATGATGAGTTGTCGGGAGTGGATAAGATGAGATTCACGAGATGGGAGAAGAAAAAGCCATCACGCGCTAGGTGGACGGTGGTTTAGCTTATTCATTACCTACGCATTATTCGCACCCTTTTGGGCAAGGACACGAGAGATAAGGCCTAGACACGGATGGCGGGACGGGGGGACGGGGACGGAGACCCGCTTTCCCAAATGAGGGTATCGTGAAAATTTTTGGCTGCCCTATCCTGGGGCCCAGACTGCACTTTTTGTGTGTCGACGTGGCTTGTGCTCCCGCGCCAGTGGCCCGGCGTGTCAGTCACTCACTGCAGAGGAAATGTCACTGGCCGCTTCTCCATAGTATTCATCGGTGTCATCTCGATTTACCCCGGATACACTGGAAGGGGCGCATGTGAGATCCACTCGAGAACGGAGTGCAAGTCGCCCCCGGAAAGTCGACATTTTGTGTGCTCCTAGTTTCAGTGAGGCTGTCTGTCTGTCAGACCGTCAGCTGTGAGTTTCGGTGAGTGAGTAATTAAGACGTAAGATAAGAAGAGAGACAAGAAAAGGCTCAGCACGGCCCTCCGATAACCGCGTCCCGTCGTTTCCTTTCAACACGTATCTGGGACAGTTCTCAAATTGACCCATCATTGGCTGCGTCTTGTTTTGTCATCTTTTGGTCCTTGTTTCTTTGACTGGAACAGACCGCCGCGAAGAGACGGCGCCGTCCGCAAGGGAGACACAGACAGGAGTCTTGTTTCCCCCCTTCGGCTCCATTTCTGCCGAGCGATTGGCGGTCTGAAAATGACTCGTTTTCGCCATCATCGCCACCGTGGTTCATGTGCCCGGACTTTAGCCGACCTCGTCAACATGTGCTTGATGCTGGCTGCATGACGATGACCGAACATGTCTACCTATTCTAATGAATGTGTCAATCGACTCAAATATGTCTTTTGTTGTGCAATCTTTCGCAAGATCTTCGATATTGCTAATTATGGCGGCGTCCGCTTTCCCAAACTTCTCGCCGGCTAGCAAACTGCGTGGATTCATTTATCGCTGCCAACGCGGCGTACATATTCGCGAGTCGACGGTCGTGGATTGACGTCACACAACTTTTGCGCATTGGCTTTGATGTGAAAGACCGATGTTCGGAAGAGAGAAATAAGCTTGTGGTTGTGCAGCTGCTTCCCTCGCTATAAGAACAGCGTTCGTGCTTGTTTGTGGAGATGGAGCAGAAGGTCAGCGCTCTAGTTTGGCAGCGGGTAATGGTTGTTTCGGTCACTTTGTTGGTTGCACAGTCTTCACTGTTGGGTCTCGCAATAGGGAATGGCGGCAAACTCCAAGGTTGGGACAAAGGTAGTTGAGCCGCGGGTAGGACACATGATGCATCGAGTCTGCAGGTTGGTGGATAAATGACCGAGTAGACACAGCGCCATGATGTCGGCGAGCCGTAGCTCGCTTCTTGCTTGACTTCCACCCTCGATGGACGCTCACAAATGGTGATGTTTGGGTAAAGCCAGTGACAATAAACACTGATACGCGGGTTTGTTCACTTCGTGATACTCGAGACCCTGGCTCTCACCATTCCCATTGCTTACTCTGGACTTCAGACAAAGGTTTCAACCAAGGGTTCGTAGACTTTATTAATGGACATCTCCCACTTGCACGCTATGCCTTCGTGCCAGGCCTCGACACCGGCACACTGTCCCAGAAAGTCATCCTTTCCAGTTCCACCTCGTCCATACCGCCAACATGAAGTTGACTTCCATCATCGCTACATTGATCGTCGCCGTTGCTGCAGTTCCCGGCGATCCTACAGGCCACTGGTTCAAGCGAACTTGCGAAAACATTGAACTAAAAGCCAACCGGGGAAGAAGAAATGGCAGCTTTTACGTCGACCTCTATGCGAATTGCCACCCCATATCAGGGGACAAAGTTGCCAACAGGATGGAACTCGACAAATGCCTTGGAAACCTGAACGGCGATCTGGCGTGGATGCAAAAGTAAGTCCAATTTCTTTCTCACGGGACCTACTACAATGGAGTGCTAACAAGGACAGCGGTGGATTCGATTACGACTGCAGTGGCTGCCAAATTATAGACACGGAGGGAGACAAGTTTATCATGCAGTGTTACTGCAACTTGAAGAGAACTACTATCAACCTCAGTCAGTTACCACGCACTTATCTGCCATGCTGTACCACAGCGACGGTTACTGACCATTTATCTCAGACCTGGGTATCCGCAATGAAGATGGTGTTCTATGGTGTAGCTACCAGTCTGCAAGCCGGCTCAGTTAATGGGAGCCCTGCCTTCCCCGGGTACGCCATTTCAGAGCATGCGTGTTGATGACGCCAATGGTCATGACGAACGAAAACAATAGCATTCATAGGTTTTAGGCCGATGCTTGCTCAAGTATCAGAATATTGTCATATGCCTGCTTAGATTGCAAAACCCGAACTCTGTCTCATGACTAATAAATCTGGATGTTGAACTTATTCTAGCCGCATCCCCAAGCCCCGCTTCCCAAAACGTGATCTCATCATGGTATCTCTCGCTACAGTGAACAAGGTAAACTGCAAACCTCATGCAAAACTCAGGCCATGACAGTCTTTCCCCCGTCTTTGGTCAGGCGGGACCGAACCTTGATACGAAGAGCCCGATGAGCTAGTCGCTGCAGGACAACTACATTCCGCTCATTCCGTAAGCCAAGAACCGTGCTCGGAGCAAATACAAGTGCCTGTCCAGTGTGCAGAGACACGATCATACCAAAGAGCTCCAACGCAGGATCTTTTGTTCCCACTGCGATGGGCGCAACTGCATGACTTGACTCTTCCTCACCGGCCATCGTCACCGACATGGAAGAGACACCAGCCAAGTGTTGGCGTAAGGTCCGAAGCCAGTCGGGTGAGGTGAATCGATGTACAATCGTCATGGAACACAGGTCGAGAAGCTTGGTAGAAACCGTGGGCTCTTGAGTTGAGATGAAGACTCGGACGCCAAGATGGCGCTGCAGGCGGATGGTTTCCAGCAATGAGTTGGTGAGAGTCTGACTCTCATCGGATTCTTTCATGTACTTGTGCGCCTCATCAAGAGCAACCACCTTTCCAACGGGAGATTGCTGCTTCAGGAAGAGGGACAGGCAGATGTTGAATAGAGAGCAGGCCAGCTCTGGCGTAACACACGGGCAAGACAAATCAACGACGGTCAGTTGACCCGACTGCGACAAATCATTAGCCATATGAAGAAGGTAATAGTGTCGTCAATAATGAAGAGTGATGATTACCTTAGGCGTCCAGTCGATACTAGTCCTGGTAGCCTTACCCGTGCCTCCCAACATGAAGCTTTCAAGCGTATCAAGGCGCTGACTCAATGGACTTCTCTGTGCTGGGGTCAAGTCTGCCTCGCTCAAACGCTTCTTGAAGGTTTTGTACTTGAAAGGGATGCCAAGGTTCTGCTGCTCAATGCGCATCTCTCGCAAGATCCGATTGATAACGTGCATGTACAGTGGCATGGTGCCCTCTCCAACTGCCATCAGGTCATTCATGCGCTTGGTGTTGAGGTCTCGGTCGCTGAGCCTCAAAGGCTCAATCTTGAGATTTGAAATGCCGCTGTAGATTCTCTGCCAAGATGTTGGTTAGGAAACAAAGCTGCCATAATGGATTAGAAGATTCTAGGATTACCTCGATGGTGCGAACGTTAGTAGGGGCACACAATACCCTGACTGAAACGTCCTTGTTGGATGCAAGGAAAGCTGCCTCGCACGGGAGACCACCCGAGTCCGAAATGAAGCTGTCGTAGTGGAAGATAATTCCAGTGAGGGGGAGAGTCAACTTGCCCAAGTAGCTAGGGAGTAAGCTGTTCTCCAGAAGACATGCTAGCGTGTTGCTCTTTCCGGAACCTTGACTACCGCATATGAACACGCTCGAGGGACAGGCTACGTTGTGAAAGATTCTGGAATCCACTCTGGTAACCCCAGTGGCGAGCGAATCCTCGGAGAGGCTTATACCGAAGAGACCGTATTGCGAAGGAGGGGATGTATTGATGACGGGCACTGTGAGAAGAGGGCTGGACAAGACCTCGTCACGGCCTTGTTGTTTTGGGTCCAGGTTGAGATGATCCATCTGAGCCACAATATCAGCTAGCTCCGTATAAGATATACCGTGACTGCCATGTTGACTGCTCTCGTCGTCGGAAGCTGCTGAATACATCGTACCCGAATCTGACGACATGGTTGCGAGCACAACAAGTAATGGATTGAAGGCTGTGGTCGACTTGTCTGGGTTGCTGGTGTGATATTTGCGAGACTCACGAGCCCAAGTGCAAGTTTTAAAGATAATCGAGAAGTTCCAGCAATGGGACCTAGGGGAGACGGTGGCTCAAAATCGAAATGGTACGGCGTCGTTGCGTCTCAAAGATTCTGCGCGGAAGTTCTTCCAGTCAATTACAGACAAGTCCAGACGCAGCCCGCTGGTCACTAGTCTTGAGTCAATAAACCCTTGAAACGCAGTACGATGGAAGCCATTGGCTTTGAAAGCTCTTCAAGATTCCCGCAGATTTTGGGGACAAAGGTCGGGGAACAGACAAGCCCTTTGCGAATGCGACTTTCGATGCGTCTGTAGTCAAAACATGATGCATGGCTTCTTTGATCTGGTCATCACCGTCAAAGAACTATTTCGGAAGATGTGACAACAAAACCTCGCCTCTTAGGAACCAAAGGGTGCCCAAACACCATAGCCTATCATGACTGGATCTTAGAGGGATGCATCGAAAGATGAAGAAGCCATCGTTTTGATGCTTCGTGTTGCAGTGTGTCAATTATTCGCTCAAGATATCCCGAAGTGACTTGTTATCTTCTAGGACATGCTTGACCTCTGCCTAGAATCCACCAAGTACGATGAAAGAGCAATCCATGAGGTGACCTTTGTTTGTGTTAAATGACGTCGTCTACTCAATGAACGATCTGAGATGTAACGACGCTTACGCCCAGATTTCAAGGAATGTCAGGATCGTGGGCGGAACATATAATATCAGTTGCACTGCCTAATCGCAATATCGGCATTTAGAAACGGAGGAAAATATTACTGGCACGAACTCAATGATAAGGCATGCCAAGCCTGCCAAGTGCTATCTAAAATTGATTCGGAAGGCGCAAACGTAATCCAAGAGAGTTGAGTGCAACGTTCTCCAAATATTGAGGGGACACATCGGAGCACGTATTTGTGAAGCTTTCTTGGGTTCCGATGACGCCGAAATGCAGAGAATGTCGCTCGCATGAATGGACATAGATAAACCCAGACCATACGTCCGAAGCACATAGACTTGATTTCTCCATCTCTGCAGTCTTCCCGTTACAGCTCAATGATTATGCATCCTCTTGCCTTGTTCGCCTTAATCGGTGGTTTGGTGTCGGCGAGCAGTCCAGTCTCCTACGATGGCTACCAAGTACTTCGCGTCACGACAGGCGCCAACTCAGCTGCCGTCCTGGAGAAGTTGTCATCCATCGAGTATGATGAGTGGAACACGGTAGTGAACAAGCACATCGATATCGCTATTGCGCCAAACCAGATCGAAAGGTTTCAAACTTTGGCTCTTGAATACCATGTAATGCACGAGAACTTGGCAGTATCAATTGCCTCCGAGTCAGCTACAGGGACCACCTGGAAGAGACAAATCGACGATCTCGAGTGGTACGATAGCTACCACCCTTATGACGACCATAAGGCATACTTCGAGGCACTCCACAATGCCTTTCCCAATAACTCAGAGATAGTCTCGTCGGGGACTTCGTTCGAAGGCAGAGACATTTTTGGCATTCACTTCTGGGGTTCGGACGGACCGGGAAAACCGGCCGTGCTTTGGCACGGGACTGTCCATGCCAGAGAATGGATAGTAGCGCCGGTAAGCTAATGCGACAAAAGGCCACCGTGGAAATGCTAAGGTCACGGACGACAGGTTGTGGAATATCTCACGTTGCAACTAATCCAGGGATATGGCGTTGACAACACCACGACTGCTTTTGTGGATACTTATGACTTTTGGGTGTTCCCGTTTGTCAACCCAGTGAGAACTCTGTGCTCGAGCTCTAATGAAGCAGTATGTATTCTGACACCTCGGCAGGATGGATTTGTGTACACTCAAACAACGGAACGATTGTGGCGGAAGAATCGCCAACCAGCCCCAACCTCAACCAACTCGACGTGTTATGGTCGCGACATCAACCGTAATTGGCCGTACAAATGGGATGCTAATCCTCTTGGGGCTTCTACGGACCCTTGTTCTCAAACATACAAAGGCATCGAGGCAGGCGACACCCCGGAGATGGAAGGACTGCACAAGCTTGTGGACACTTTGCGAGACGCAAGTGGGCTGAAACTCTACATCGACTGGCACAGCTACAGCCAGTACTTTCTGACCCCCGTCGGCTACAACTGCACCTACTACATTGATACTCTTGGCCAGCACATCAAGCTTGCTCAGCTAGCCTCGGATGCCATTCGGGAGGTTGAGGGTGTCACCTTCACGTATGGCCCAAGTTGCGCGACTCTGTATCCTACGACTGGAGCAAGCTTCGACTATGCTTACGCCGTTGGCAAAGCTCAATGGTCATACTTGATCGAGTTGCGGGACACTGGCGATTTCGGGTTCGTATTGCCGCCAGAGCAGATTCTTGGTAGTGTGAAGGAGCAGTGGGAGGGCATGAAAGTCATGTTGAGTGTCCTTGATGAGGTCTTCTTCGATGGAGAAGGTCCAGCGGCATTCTGAGTCGAAACTGAATGCAGGAAACGTATGTGTTGAGCATCGGATAAGGTACTGAAGGAATATGCATCATGTACAGTAGATTTCGCGCAGAGCTGTCCAAAACCCTTGTAAGCCGGCTATTCTGGTGTCCTTGTACGCTCATAACTCTCATTCAACCCTTCGCTTTTGGTAAACCTCATGAACATATCTGATACACGCCAAAACAAGTGCAAAAGCGAGAATCCCTATGTTTGAGTCGAAAGCTCTGCGGTAAAGAGGCTTGTCATCGGCTTGGAAAAGTTGCGCTCCATAAATTGCTGCAATATTCGCGCTCATGATGATCCTTGAAAGTAAAAATCAGAATCTCGAATTGTGTTCGGTGACGAAGCTGGAAAACTCACATCGCCATAGCCAGTGATCTCTCTTCCGGGTCAGTGCAAGTCAGCGACATCCACGTGATATTGAGAGGGTGCGGGAATGAGGCAAACGTCTGCGTCCAGACGACTCCATAATACCGCACACCTCGCTTGTTGATCTCCGTAAAAATGCGGTTGAGAATGTAGCCGAACATGTGCATTGCGACTGCCAGTATCGTAGTCTCGCCTCGCTTGTTACTTAAATCAGGAATTAGCATCCGGCCCTCCAACTAGTTATAAACGTGACAAGACATCACTTACAACCGGTCGGAAATGTAGCTGAAGCCAAAAGAGACTGGTGCTTGAAGGAACAAGCCCACAGCAGCCAAAGCATTACTCGTAAGTGAGGGAAAGCCGAAGCTTCTGATGATGGTCGGACCATAGGTGTCGAAACCTCTGAAAGGTCCGTTGTTGCCGAGAGTGATGAAAACATGCACCCATATGCGCCAGTTGGAGAACTGCAATAGTCGGTAATGCTATCAGAGAATTAGGGCGATGCAGGAAGACTCACGGCCTTTTTGAAAGCAGCGATCCCAATGTGCTGCTTCTTGTTCATTTTGTTGGGATCATCGATGCGCACGCGCGTCTGCAAGATGTGAAGCTCTCGTTCCGTAAAGATGTTGACTTGTGGCAGAAACCAGCTATGCGGGTTATGGAACGCGTCTGGGAGACAAAATCCTACTACTATGCCGCTGGCAATAGTGAAGGCTCCCATCACGATGAAAAGCCAGAACCAGCCAGGATACCCGGCTACTCCCTTCATATGTAGGATTCCATATGCAATTAGCTATGCAAAGGCCTGGCCCAGTTGGTTGCCAAAGAAAAATATCATAACCCGTTTGGCAGTCTCTTTGCGTGTGTACCATGTTGATAAGGTCCAGAGACCGCCAGGGATGTAACCACTTTCAGAAACTCCAAGGAAAAACCGGGTCGCAAGGTAGCCGGCATAGTTGTGCTGGAAGGCTTGGAACGTACTAACCAAACCGAAGAAAAATAACTGAAGGGTCAACCACTTTCCCGGTCCAACCTTGTACAAAATCATGTTTGACGGAATCTCGAAGAGAACAATCCCAAGGGACAGCAGTTGTTGGCCAACATTGAATTGAAATTGCGTGATGCCTACGTCTTCCATGAAGGTATCTGTTATTGCGTTCGCGATATTGCCTCGATCGAGTTCTGCAGTCATATTTTACGTCAGATGGCAGTGGAATTTAGGGGCTATCGTTCGTACGCACGCAAGCAGAAGAAGCCGAGTGTCAGGAGTGGCATAATGATCAAATCTAACCTGCATTGGTTCACATGTTAGACCCAAGAATTCTAGATATAAGTGTGCGACTTCAACACTCACTTCCATTTCGCTTTCGTCTCTTCGTCCTCCGTCCAATCGACCGGCGATGAAACCTGCTTCGTGTCGCCATCGACGAGATTCGCGGAAGGGGATCGATCTATTAACGAGACGATGTCTGCGGTGCCCATGATGTCAACGAGGGGTTGATGTTTTCGTTCGGAAAGACCTCATCAAGTTGATACTTGATTTGCTTGAACCGAGAAACATGAAGTAGCAACAAACATGGCTGGTTGTTTCCAGTACTCCAGTTCGGAATTCAGCGTCATTCTTCTGCAGGGCTTTCTCTTGACCCAGACGAAACCGAGCACACCATACCGGATCTGCGGAGAAGATCCGAATCACTGGGTCCGAACATAAGTCTTATCAGGCCAGTAAGCTCGACAAGAGACAACTGGGAAGGAGCGATATTGCGTGCTTGGTGCGGAGTATCATCGTCGGTGCCTACGCATCAGGCTTTGGCACCTAGGCGTTGGTCATGTTTCAATAGCGAATAAATCACCACGTGGAAAGGCATTAATCTCCGCGATGGATGTTGGAGTAGCGCAGAAGTACGCGATAGTCCCAAATTGACGCAGCGACTTGAAGTACCTTAGGCTAGAACTGCCACTGATTGGACTTGTATTGTGTTTGCTTACTTTGCTGCGGCACAAGCTTTATAAAATTGTTCAAGTAGAACTCGACGAAAAGGTACGGGAACAATTCCAACGTCGGGCATATTACTGCCGTTGACAGTTTGGAGTGGGAAATCCGCCCGAGCACGTCATCTTCCCGGCGGATTCGATCATCCAACACTCCACTCGGGGCACATCTGCGTCGGAGAACCTCCGACATGCAAGCATCCCCAATAAACTTAGTGATACAAAGGGCACTAGCCTAGCTAGATGAAATTGATCTAAATGTCATTCGTGCGGTCGCGCCTTCCGTACGTGCATTTTGCATCCATCAAAACCCATCGCCGCGATGAAAACCTTGTCCGACGAGGAGCTCACAAATCTCGCGGGCAATTACTTCGCCCCGAAGGGACTTTACCGTCACACGAAAGCCTTGCCATTTTTGGGTAGTCTTGAGTGTAACACAAAGACTCTCATTGCTGGGCAATGGACTGAACTCATCGTGGAATACACGGTTGGTGCCAGTGGCCTTGCTGATGGAGCTTGGATCAAAGGAACCTTCAAGTTCTACTCGGACTGGGCGCTGTGTCAGACTTCCGACCCAAAGGAAGACAACTACGTATCGTTAGAATACACGCCAGGCCCTCTCCACGAAGGACAAACGGCGGCGACGGTACAGTCACTGGCTGTTCGTTTCGACCAAAAGGGCCACGAGCGACCATTCCAAAAGGCCATCATCGTTAACATTGTCGACGGTGACATGAACCCCGGAGATAAGATTACTGTTCGAATTGGCGACAGACGATGGGGATCGCGGGGTACCCGAGTTCAAACATTCGTTGAAGACAAGTTCTTGATGAGGTGGTATATTGATCCAGTCGGAACTTCAAGATTCGCTCCCATCAAGCCTGACATTGCTTTTCCAATCAAATCGGGACCAGTTGCTAGAGTCAAGACCATAACTCCCCGAGTTGTTAGGCCTGGCGTTCCCGCCCCCCTTCACGTCCATACCGAGAACATCTGGGGCAATGCGACAGCAGACCTAGGGAATCTGAAAGCTGAAGTCAAATTGATCAAAGTTGGCTCCAAGGCAGAGGTTGTCCAGACTAAAACTTTGCCTTTCGCAGCTCAGGGATGGACGGTGATGAATGACACATACGAGTTCGTCAAAGATGGGGACTACGATCTCGTCGTGGCAGTAATTGATGGTGAGGGATCTGTCATTGCCACAGCTACAGACTAGGTATCTGTCGATGCCTCTCTACCCATCCCTCGGCCGTTGTGCTCTGATCTTCACGTTCACTCCGATGACACTGTCGGCACCAACTCGACCACATACAACTTCTCTTACGCCAAGGAAATTGCCGGCCTTGACGTCGTCGGATACACTGCTAATGATTTCAACATTACCAAAGAGAAGTGGGAGCACACGCTTGAGATCATTAAGAGAGTTGATTCGCCTGGCGAATTTGTCGTATTCCCTGGGACAGAATGGTGTGGCAACTCAGCCGCTGGGGGTGAGTAAACCTGATTCGAATGTTGTTGTGCTCTTACGAAGGAAGACTGATTTGATTCAGGTGATCACAATGTCGTCTTTCTCGATGACCCGAAGACGAGTCAACCCGAGTTCCCTTTTGACAAGAAAGGGAATGTAGCTCGTAGCTTCGAGTGGAACGAGGACGGACCGGCAGAGCTGATACCCGGCGCTTGGCCACTGGATGAAGTCTACGCGACTTACGCTCATACACCTGAAAGCCACCTTTTGATCCCCCACGTTGGCGGTCGTCGATGCAACCTAGCCTGGCACCATCCCCAATTGGAACGTCTTCTCGAAATTGGCAGCGCTTGGGGGTTATTCGAGTGGCTTCTTCGCGACGCCGTGAAACGGGGCTGGAAACTCGGCGTTTCCGCCAATTCGGATGAGCACCGGGGCCGATGTGGAGGCGGGGTACCCGGAACTGCCGTCTTTGGCACGAAGGGTGGATTGACCGGCGTCTTGGCCGACAAGCTGGAGCGTGGTGAGGTTGCGAAGGCCTTGCGGGCAAGGCGTACGTTTGCGACAACAGGCGAACGCTTAGTTGGGATCGTACGCACCGACAACGGACATCTTCAAGGCGATGATGTATTTGTGAAGGATAATGAGGAACTCGTTCTCAGGTACAGCTTCTTTGGTGCGGGAGGGTACTCTTCCATCGAGGCTTGGGATGCGAGTGGTCGGATTCTCCACCGGGATCTCCAGAAAGAAGCAGAAACTCACACCACGGCATCAACTCCTAGAAAGATTCGCGTGACTTGGGGAGGGGCTCGCGTTTACGACAGATATCGTGAGGCTGTCTGGCACGGATCAATCCTCCTTCCCGGGGCGGTAATCTCGCATATTCGACCTTTCGGGGGCGTGCTTCACAATGCCGAAGATGAGATCAAGCAACTTTCCCAAAACCAGGTGGTCTCCGAGACCCGAACCAGCGGGGATTTCGATGGTGTTGACATTTTCCTTGATGACACATCGGAAACCCCCTCTACTATCAGCGTATCGGGCCATTTAGGTGGATACGTCAAAGTTGGTGACGCCCTCAAAGGAAACCCCCACAACCCGCAACCTCGGTTCAACTTGGTTGCAACGGCAAAGGACTTTACTCAGGAAGGAGGGGTGCGCGACGACATAGTGGGCGGTGCTGGCCTCTTTGTGTCCATCGATGGTCTGTTGGATGTTCCATTGCCCAAAAGAGTTGAAGGCAGCTTCACAGTGAAGGCAGAGTCTGGTAGTGGTGGTGACCGGGCGGTGTACTTTGTGGGCAGAGAGTATGGTGGAGGGAAGGTCATCACTAGTCCTGTATTCATCAAGTACGAGTGAGCCATTAGCTAGAAAGAAGCATCCACAGCGCACATACTTTGTGCGGAAGGCAGATCTGACCCACGCAACTCCAACAACCCCAATCTCTCGGGCCCAGTGCCCATTTCGCGCATCACCTGCACCTCCTCGGGCCTCAGAATTGGAAACCGAAGGTGAGCGAATACGCGCTCTGCCTTATTGAGAAAGGAGACTTACCGTCCGCGTCTTCTGACGTCGCGATGCAGATGGCGAGATCATCAATGGAGCAGAGTTTCTCTGAACAGGGATTTGGCTGTGGTTGTCATTGGACCACCCCGGATTTCGGCACTGCATGCACCTGGTGTTTGGTTTGTGGACGGGGGTGGGGTAGTTCAATCTCAACGCGCCTGACAGGTGCAAGAGACGGCCAGGTTCCAGGGAGTTCCTCGACGGCAACCCGAACTGAGGCCTAGTGACGGCTTTTGTGCGGAATGGGGAGGAAGTGGACATGGCAAAAAGAAAATAGTCTGGTACGGTACATATATAAGCTTGTTAACTCCCCAGGTATGCTCCGGCATCCACCAATTCATGGTTCGGAGTTTGTAAATTTGATCGGTCAGCGGAGAGCCCAAGCAATTCGTCCTGCCATTATGCTCGGTCACAATCTTTCCCGTTTCGCTGTATCACTTTTTGTGACAAAAGCAGCCTCATCTCCTGTCCCGCGGTCTGATCCGGCCAGAAATAAATTCTTTGTAACCTTGTAAGTTGTCCCTCCTTCAGTCTCAGACTTGATTTATCGACTCGCCTTCATCTAGATTTGGCTGACAAAGTTTTAGCGGGAGCTCTACTACACAGACCGGGTTTTTTGTCAACGGCACCGCTCCCTCGAGCAAGAATCCAATTGGCAATCCCTCTTTTCCTGGATCAACGACGACTGGCGGCCTCAACTGGCTAGGGTTTGATATCTCTGAGTTTAATCACACAACGATCTTAGCCTACAATCTGGCTGTAGGAGGTGCTACGACAGACAGCACACTTATTCCAACATACACGGAAGGTGTTGCGACCTACGTAGACCAGGTTAACACCTTTTACGATGCATACGTCCACCAGGAAACCCCATGGTCCTGGGACGACGTTCTGATTGGGATCTGGATCGCCAACAACGACGTTGGCCAGTCTTTTGACAGAAACGACACATCCTCTCTGTACCCGAAGGTTTCTGCCCATTACTTCGAACAGACTCAGCGCCTGTACGATGCCGGTGCCCGAAATTTTGTGTTTCTCACATGTGCTCGTAAGTTAATTTCATTGAGTTGCTATTGACGGCAATGACAAAAAGCCATCGCTGACTATGGCATTGCTGTCAATCACGAAATCCCACTAATGATCTGGAATAGCCCAGCAACTCACTCCTTTGATGATCGAAAAAGGCCCAGAAAGCAACGCAAAGGTTGCGGCTGCTGTCAAGCTCTACAATGAGATATTGGAAAAGAACTTTCAAAAGTTTAAAATAGCCCATCCGGATGCTCAAGCCTGGCTGGTCAGACCTTCGAAGTCATATGAAACTGCGATTGCGAACCCACAAGAATACGGAGCGCCAGACGCGATTTGTACAAACGAGGACGGCGTCAGCTGCCTGTGGTGGAACAACTACCATCCTGGAATTCAAATTCATCATCTTCTGGGAGCAGACGTGGCGACAACTGTTGGCACACCTTGGTTCAATCCCCAGTAGAAATAGTAGTGATTCCTAATGACAAATAAAGGAGAAAGAGGTCGCATGAATGCGAAATTAAATTTAAAGTAACGAAGTGGGAGTGCATTGGTATGGTCTCTGGCTAAGAGGGAGCTCACACAACTAATATTGTACTTGCCGTTCACCTGTGGTCTGACGGAGATCTCGATACTACCGCTGTACAATGCATTCACCTGACAGGATGTCTTATCCATACGAATAAAACAGGACCTGCATCGGCGTTTGATAGCTCATGAATGGAAAGGACAGTCCAAACTTAGTGACGCGAAATTGTGAGGCCAGGCACATGCTAAGGAGAGCGGCTGTATGAGTCAGTGAACAACAGCATTTGCTGGTAGCACAGAGTACGCGCCATAATCATGTTGGAAAACCGACTCGGCGAAGGCTGCTTGGATATCGCTTTGCAACCTGGACGCTGAGTGTAGCGATCCACCAGAAGAGCTGGAGCAGACGTGACTTTGACTTGCTGTGACGTTTCTTGAATGAGGTTCACGAAGAAGATAAGTGCACGACTCGAGCTTGAGATGCTATGAGGGATCCTGCCTGGGTCTTCCACATACTGGCTGGAGTCTGGACAAACCAAACTAAGAAGGGATGACAGTGCGCGTCTACTGACAGACCCATAGAAGTATCCAAGAACCTGGACATTCTAGAAACGAATTCCAAAGAGATTGATGAAAAGGTCGTCTTCGGAGACACCGTCGTTTGCCGAGAAGTTTCTGATCACCAATTTGGGAAACTGGGTAGAATCCCGTGTGCGCTTCGACTATCATGATATCATCGTCGAATGCAACCCCAGACCTTCAGACTGTCTCAAAGTTTCCGAAGGCAATGTTCCAACTAGGACAGAAGAAGACTCAATGTGAGTTGAAATATGCTAAATGATGAAGATGTAGAACAGGCGGCAGCCTGGAGACAATCACTCTCCCTTCATGGGTGGACCCAAGAGGGTTGGCAATGCCCCTGAGTGAAAGAAATTAAGCGAGTGATTTCGGACGCGAGTGCACACCCCATATGACGAATAACCCGAGTGCTTCCATGCGATGCTACGTATGGTACTGGTGAGGTTGAAATCTGCAGGCGCCCCTGTAATTCAACCTTGATGGCTTGTGATCACCACTGCATCAATGGAACCCGGATGGCCATTGAGCAACAGCACCTGAAATTTACGAGAGTAGGTACGTCGTCAATCGTTAAAGATGCCTTGAACGATACAAGCATTTTTCGCCTCGAGTGCAATTAAGTTTCGGCAGGCTAAGATGGACCGCAGTCGCTGCTGCAATGAGGTTCCATTCGAACCTGAAATTCTTCACCCTGCGAAATGTATCCGTATACTTCAGGGATCTATCTCACTGAGCCCATGCGAGAGATCAACATCTGAGAGGTAGCAACGAAAAATACCTTGCGCAGTATTGCGCAGGTTTTGCCAAGTTGGTCGCATTACTACAAATCGAATGCAAATATCGGATGGAGACAACTCGGAAGCTTCGGCGGGACGAAGTGCAGCTCAGCTCTCAAGGTCCAAGACAAAAAACCATGAGATCAAGGAAATCTCGGTAGTTGACCGCTGGAAGCTGAGTTGATGACGAGAATGGCGAGGCGATGTTGGAAGTGTCAAGATATTGCTTGCCGACCATTCAGACAACGGGCAGCCACGTCTGCGAGGCCTTGCTTGATGAGAACGTCAACCACGCCTGCAGCGCCAGCACTACTTTATAACCCCTGGCGCGAAGGGAGCACTTGTCGCACGAAAAAATGACATACATTTCGTCTTTCCTAGGCTCTGCCCTCTTCTTAGTCTCACTCTGCCCATCTGCTCTTGTAAGAGTAGCACCTCAGAACACCCCTTTGGAAAGAAGAGTTACTTGGGAGGGACGACCCCTTTTGTAAGACTTCGATTCCATTGGTTTCAGCAGACCTCCCTGGAAACTTCACCGCCCGCAAGAGTCCCAATGCCTCAATTTTTATTGTTGGAGGTGGCATCTCAGGCCTCGCTACTGCCTTGATGCTGGACAGTGTCGGCGTCCATAATTGGGAGATCATTGAAGCCAGCGATCGTGTTGGAGGACGCTTTCGCACAGTATTCGTCGATGATACGGAAGAGTTCGCCGAGATGGGCCCGATGAGATTACCTTACCACCAAGTCACATACAAGAGCGACGATTCCACGCACGCGTACTCTGATCTCCGCATGACTTTTCAACTCGCCGACCTCCTCGATAGAATGAACGAAAGCGATGAGAAGTACAGAATCGACTTTATTCCATGGATCCAGCACCATCCTAACGAACTACTCGCCTTTGGGACGGGCAGACATTCGGATGGCAGGGTACCTACCCCCGCTGAGATTGCGAAAGATCCAAGCCTCGGTGCTCCACCGGTCATGACATCGGCGGAATGTAACAACACTGAGAAAGAAATGAACAAAGTCTTGAAGAACGAGACTCTCATCAAGGAAATACAAGCCGATATTTGGGGGGCTCACAAGCAAGTGATGGACCTAGGCTACGATGATTGAAGCGAGCAGTCGCTGCTGCGCAACCGTCTAAATGCAGATGAGAATGTCACAGATGCAATCTGGACTTCCACTGACTACGATGTCATCTGGGATGAGATGGTGCACAACTCCAACTTAGCTCTTGACGGGTCTGACGATATTCTCGGTGAGACTGAGTGGAAGTGTGTCGACAAAGGCTTCAACCGCATGTCCGACGCTTTTATTCCCCATGTCTCAGACAGACTGATCTTGAACCGCAAAATCCGGAAGTTGGAACCGGTTCATGACGAAGCCGGCAACAGTCGAACACGTCTGTCAAGGTATCCCGGCGCGGCAAACAGGACGTTGGAGTCTAAGGACTACGACTACACCAGCATGGCTGTTACTTTCACCGTGACTCGATTAGGCCGTCGGCGCTCTGTAATATCCCGTGTATGGATTGAACGAATCAGGATCCGGTCTCATCACAAACTATCGTGGCGGAGATTGAAGTGATCGTTTTGTTAGCTTCACAGAAGAAGAGCACGATCTTTACCGGCGAGCATACGGCTCTGACTCATGCTTGGATTAGTTCCTCGCTTTATTCTTCCGTCAGAGGCTCTTTTGAGTTGCTACTTGGGAGTTGAGTTGGGAATGGTCCATGAGGCGAAGGAATTGTACCAAGAGTGGATGGGCCAGTGGATTCATTGATTAGATGTAGGGTTTGTGCGACAGTCACAGATGTGAGCTGGATGATAAGCATGCGAATACAAAGTCTGGTCTTCGGCAAAAATTTGTTAATTGGTTCCTTAACATCAAACGTGTCTTGACAGCGATGCCGTTATTGGCCCGCACGCTCATCACATCTGGCCTTTCGCTTTTTGTTGCCGTAACGCCTGTCAATCTCAGTGGTCCTGAGATCCTTCTGGGATCCTTCTGAACAGCGTTACCTCATTGGGCAGGTCAAATGCAACCATCATCTGAGCGAAAATGGCACGTTGGGTCCCCGCAGATCGTCAAACACCTTGGGAGATAAACAGTTTCCCGAAGTGCTGCGTCGGTCTGCGACTTCGGAGCTCGGGGTTAACTGACTAATGATAAGGTGCTCTTCCCCGCGCCTTGCCAAACCAACATGATACGCAACGATTACCCGATCTCTGTGAAGTTATTTGCGCATTGAGATATCATGTCGGAACCAAAGTCAATTGCTATTGTCGGTGGTAGGCAGAATGCAGTGACCATATAGGCCCGCAGACTTACTAACGACCTGTTTAGCGGGCATATTCGGGCTATCGCTGGCGGTTGCCCTCAGCAAGAAGCGTGAGTCTTGGCGCCTTCTCCCGAAAAAGAGACCTATATAGGACTTGTGAGAGCTGATAAAAAACAGCCGGAAATCGAGTTCATGTCTTTGACAGACATCAATACGACGAGTCGGGATACTCGCCCGATTTCGCCCACAGTACCCAGGCAGCTTCCGTGGACCATAACAAGATCGTAGGTTCCCTGCACACTCGCTCTAATGTGTGACGTGTAGCAATTAACGATTATCTAAATTGCAGTTTCGAGCATCCTACGGAAAGAGCATCCACTATCAACGCCTAGCGCTTGAGAGTCGCAGCGCCTGGGAGAAAATTAACGAATTACGCCGCGAAGAGAAGAATGAAGAAGAGCGGTCTGACTTATTCAGCGGCTGCGGCATGCTTCGCGTCCAACCCGACGCCGATCTTGGTGCACTGGAGCGTGAGACACTGCGTAATTTTGAACGTGACGGGCTACGTGATACACAATTTGTGAAAAGTGATCCCACTGACCGCCAGCGTGCCACTGAGCGCGGTTGGGACTCGAAGCTCCTTGAATTTGCTATCCCGGATTCATCTTCGAATCAGAGCTTTGAGGCAGTTCTCGACTCTACGGCTGGTTTCACTAAGTGCAGTGAAGCTTGCGCTTACTTCTACAAGATAGCTGAACGCCAGGGCGTCGTATTCCACTTCGGGCCCCAGAAAGGTGGTTTTGGGAGTCTCATAGAAGAGAACGTCCCGGAGTCATCTAAGAAAAGGGCTATTGGCCTGAAGACCAAGGACGGAGTTGTTCACAAGGCCGATGTTGTGGTCATTGCTGGTAAGTTCGCTCTCCACAATTTAACAGTTGCAGTGACCAATGTTTCTGGCAGCCGGATCTTTCTCCACGCAACTATTGCCCGAGCTGTCGTACCACCTGGAATCCTCAGCCGGAAGCGTCGTCACCTTCAAGGTCGACAAGGATGACGAGCGACTCTGGGATAAGTACTCTCCTGAGCGTTTTCCTGTGATCACTTGGAAGAGCGCTGCCCGGACTGTCGATGGCAAAGACATCGGAAGTATCTATGTATTTCCTCGGACATCTGACGGCCTCATAAAGATCGGCTACAGGGGCGTTAAGGTATGTAAATGCTTGCAATACTTGTGAAGGTCTTGGAATTGACAACTCTCCAGTTCACGAACTTCCAGCCTGCCCCCCCTGATGCTGGCTTCACGCAGGACGGGAAATGGTCTGTGCCCATGTCGCCCGCTGATTCTCGTGTTGTACCGGACAGAGCCAGAGAGGCTATCAAGCCGTTCGTATCCATTTTCCTCCCGGACTTCAAAGAACAAGATTTTTATTCAACAAAGATGTGTTGGTACACTGACTCACTTGACAACTCTTTTGTGGTAAGTGATTTTGAAGTAGGATAAATTGCTCGGTCTTGCTGATTTGGGCCGTGTGCTAGATTGACTACGTGCCGAATTACGCCGATAACTCCGTGTTCGTCTGCACTGGCGGAAGTGGACATGGAGCCAAGTTTCTCCCCGTTCTAGGTGAAGTGAGTACTTCAAATATCCATGTCTTTTAATCACTGCTGATTTGCTATTTTAGCACGCTGCCGATATTCTGCTGAATGGTGAGCAGAGCAACTCGTTTATGCGCCCTTACTGGCGATGGAGAGAGACAGCGCGCAGAGGGAACGGGCTTGAGGAGGGGCCCAAGGGCCCCCGAAACATTGGAAGTTCGAACCAATGAATGTACTTAGAAGATACAGTCCGATAATTTCTACGTTGCTGTGAGCCTTGATCTTTGTGCCTGATAGCGAGTAAACACAGTTGCATGATGTCAATTCCCGAGGTCCCTCCCCTCAGTGACCTGTAATTCTCGCAGGAACCATGAGTCATTTGCTGTTGTGATGTATCTCATCTGAGCTCGTCAAAAGCCAAGTATGCCGCGCCGCTTCGGGCCGCTGGCCAAGAACGTCTGATTCTCCGTTAATTGGACGGAAGAGCTTCCCAACTTCGTCTTCAGCTCGTTGGGATTTGTTGCCTGAGTAGGAAATTTAGTGTGATCCGCGCGTCCTGCATGACACACGAGCAACCTTGATGTCCTGAACTGCCAAGGACAGCTGCGATGGATTTCTTGGCGTTCGTTCTTGGCCACAGAGAGAGACGTCGAAATAAGACACTGCCCCTGACAAAGTATGTGCCGCTTTATCCGAGATGCAACTGTTTGCTCTGGTACGACGTCTTGACGCAGCAAGCACCCTTGCGGATATTAAGTTGACGAGAAGGGCATAAGGAGCGCGAAGCGGAGACGCATCTGAAGGATGAGGGTCCCGGAGGCAAACAGGTCAGGGGTGAGACGAGCTTCCAACAGAAGTCAACAGGAATCATGTTGCGTTATAAGCCGCATTCTTCACCCGCTCTGTGGCGTCTTCACTCGTCCTTAGCAGTGCTTGAGAGGCAAGAAAGTCAGCAGCAAACTTCTGTCGGCTTCTCAACCCCACTTTGTTACTTCCGCTCATACCACCGCCGTCATGACTAGAGACAGAGGTCTTGAGGAAGACAACCCCAAGGAGAAGACCGTCCACACTTCCAACGACGGCACTCCTCTCGACGTGAAGCCATCCGACAATGGCAGCGGACAGGGCAGACATGAGCATGCCGTCAGTAAGGATGAAGTCGACGATACCACACTCTTCTACAACCTCAATAAGGAGAAAGCCGGCTCTTTCACTGCGGAGATGGAAGGTAAGCTTGTGCGCAAGAACTTCTGGTTTCTGCTTGGTCAAACCTGGTGGATCGCCTTCCTGATCCACCTGGACAAGTCCACACTGTCGCAAGCTAGCACTATGGGGATCTTTAAGGATGTCGACATGACGAAGAAACAGTACAATGACCTTTTTGTGGTGTTTTATACTGGCTACCTTATTGCTCTTTGGCCAGGAGCATGGTTGTCTCAGAGAACTGGCCAGAAACAGTTCATCGTTGGATCGCTATTGCTGTGGGCTCTATTGCTCGCAATGCATGTACTTGTCAAGACAGGAGGCCAGATGATAGCCTTGCGGTTTCTGTTGGGCATGGCGAGTCTCCCTTGCTTTGGAATATGTGTATGAGCACAGTCCGACTAACTGATCAAAACAGACCGAGTCTCAGATTGTACCGAGCACCACCATCCTTCATCAAGCATTCTTTTCTCCAAAGAAAAGTCCTTGGGTTCAGCTTCTTTGGTGGGCTTCGGGCAGCTTCGCAAACGTGCTTCTCACCATGGTTGCTTACAAGTTGATCCTCCTCGATGATGCTCATACACTGATTGGCGGGCTGTCGTCGTGGAAGTGGTTGCACATTATATGTGTGATCCTGACCTTTATCATGGCAGTCCCGCTGGCTTTCTTCCTGCCAAACTCACCCGTGGAGGCGAAATGGCTCTCGACCGCAGAGAAGGTACACACAATCAAGGCGATCCGCGACACACAATCGGGCATCAAGAATTCGACATGGAAGTGGTCGCAAGTTCGAGAAGCGTTCACAGACCCCAAAAGCTGGCTTTTCATGTGGGTTGTCATCTGTCCATTGTCTTTCAACTCACTGATGGCAATGCAGATTCCATATGTTCTTCAACGAACTTCCGAACAACACCTCGCAGCAGCTTCCTCTTATTATCGTTGGTTTTGGCTTCACGCCAGCAGAGAGCGCGCTTTTCAATATTGCCAAGCCGTTGATTGGTTCATTTCTTGTTCTTGTATCTGCCGCTATGCTTTATGGGACCCGACTTGGCACTGGCTATACCTGCGCGATATCGTACATCCCATGCTTCGTTGGGGGTATAATTGAGGTGAGGCTTTGATACCATGACTTAGCTTTCCGTCTTCTGACTCCTTCACAGCTTGCTGCCCCTTGGTCCAACAAGGTCGCGCTCGTTGTTGGCACTCAGATTTCAACATTCAAGCCGTCCTATCTGCTCGGTCTTTCTTGGGCTGGTACCGCCACGACCGGGTATACGAAGAAGCTTACCGTTATGTCAACCTGTGTGGTTGCTGCATCGGCTGCAAATATGATTTCGCCCGAGTAAGTCGCCGCTAAGCTCTCCATCAGAAAAGCCGCTAACGATGTTTTTCAGGTTTTGGCAACCCAAGTACAAACCAAGATACACTCTACCATGGGCTTTCATGACTGCATTTTGGTTCATATCACCTGCCATGTGCCTTGTGATCCGCTGGTATCTCGTCCGCGAGAATCGACGCAGGCAGGCTAACCTGGATACTGCTGGAAGTTCGGACGACAACGATATCCTGGACACTGGGGACAGGGTTGTCCATGTGTACAAGGAAGATCTCGATCTGACGGATCGCCAGAATCAAAAGTTTATTTACCCGTTGTGAGGTGATGAAAGTAGGGCTGCTGTGTTGGATACTGAAGGAGATGCAGCCAGGTAGTCAAAAGAACCTAGGACTTGGGAGGCTTATAGGAATCGTTGTTGGAAGAGTTGGATGTACTTTGAATTCTGGTCTTGAAAGCAAGAGGCAGTTTATTTTTTAGAACACTTCAAGCCTAGAAAAGGAATACGGAATAGATTGATCGTTAGATGTCGGACACACCCTGCATTTTGGACTGGAAGTGAGCTTGTGTACCGTATGTATCTTGTCTGCCTTAGTTCATCAACATGATTAGCTATTTTATCAGCAGCGCTTGCAAGCCGGTGCCATATTAATGATCCTAGGCAGCTTGCCAAGACTTTTGTGGAACTTTATTGGATGGCTGATAAGGCAAAATGACCTAAAACCTACATCGACCGAATGAGTCTGCCTGTGTGTGTTCAAATGGAGGCGAGTCCAGCATATTGATCTTCGCTACGTCCCCGCCCACCGTCGCCGAGTCTGATATCGACCGGCTACGGCAGTGATCCACACCTCCGCGCCGGACGAGACTCCGGAGCCTAATCTTTTGTGGGGTGACGTCGATTAAGCTTGTCCTTAGCTCATTTCAATCGGCGACAATTTCGATATTATCCCTGCTAGACGGTACCTGAGGTTCAGTCATCGGTCGAAAGAGCAGATTGTTGCGTCAGTCTCGTGCGACAATGGCTTTGACTTCCGGACTGAGGGAATACCATATCGTCGCGAAACCGAGACTTTCTAAGTCGCTTCCGGGATAGCTTATGCTTATTAGGGAAGGTAGTTCTCTTAACTCCGCAATGGAAGGTGATCAACGGCTCTGATGCCGGGCGCTTGGCCTTCCAGCTCCCGCTACCGACCGCGTAGACAGGGATCCCGGGCACAGCAACTGAAAATAGTTGGTGAACCGCTGAAATGGGCCAATCGCCAAGCAGGATAAGTGGGAAACGGCCATCAATACGAACAAAGTGGATCCGACCTTCAGCATCCGTAGATTGCATCAAGCCAAGGAAAACATGGGGAAATTTGTTGTTGATAAAAAGCCGGTGAGCCCGCGTTGTTGATAACAAGCAATCGAGACTGTTCATCGTCATCAGCAACTCCAAAGCTGACAATCTTGCTGCGATCATGAAGGGTCTTATTATAGGACTGGCCTCTTTTGGCCTCACCAGTGCCGCCGCAGTCAGCTCTTTGGCGCAGCCCGTAGCTCGCCGAGGGTGCCTCGTCTCCGACGAGGGCGCTATTCAAGACCCGGCCATCCAATACACGGAAAAGACAGTTCGCCGTCAGAACTTCCCGAGCAACTTCACTGTCGACGTTAATTTTCATCTCGCCAGCACCGAGGAAGAAGCGGACCTGATCACGGACGAGATCGTCGATGCGCAATGGAAGGTTCTCCACGAGGCCTTCGCTAGGTACGACATCAACCTTGTGCTCAACTCGACTGAGCGTACGGTCGACAACCTGACCGGTTCCGCTTTCCTCATCAACGAGGGCCCTGACAAGGGCTGGGTTTACCACGAGGAAGAGTACAATACGTATCTGAAGGCGACTCGCAAGGGCGGATATGATGCTTTGAACCTGTATTTCTTCAGCAGCTACTCGCCGGGTGCTACAGGCTACTGCCAGTGGCCTACGCCTCTCGCCGAAACCGATGAGTTGACCTTTTGGAAGGATTCGTGCCAGCTGAGCGCAATGACTATGCCAGGCTTCACCGCTGAGCAGGGGGCTTTCGAGTCGTGGAACCTTGGCCATCTTGCGGTTCACGAGAGTGGCCATTGGTTTGGTCTGAATCACACCTTTGCCGGTGGCTGCTCAGAGCCTGGCGACTTTGTTTCAGACACGCCAGCGCAGCTCACCCAGATCTTTGGCTGTCCCGAGGGTTCCGACTCTTGCCCAAACCAACCCGGTTTGGACCCCATTCACAACTACATGGGCTACACTGATGATGCTTGGTAAAATGCTCCTCTCTTGATATTGCCTTGAATTGTGACTGACTTGTTCTACCAGCACGAACGAATTTACCTCGGGACAGAAGGACCGCATGTTTTCAACCTTCCTCAACTTCCGTAGGAAGTAAGCACACCAAAGCCACCGATGGAAGGTGTGTGTGTCTCTAGATCTTTGGCCGGAGGCATGAAGACTGTAGAAGCGAGATTAAAACAATACAAACACTAAAGTTTCTGGTGATACTTTATCTGGAAAATGGAAAGAAACGCAAGACCATGTCAAAAAGACCGAGGTCACATGGTTCAATTGCTATGTCATCCCAGAACAGGCACCGCACGGCAGTCATACCAATCGGCCGACACTTTAAGCCGCTAGAATTATTCGGGTTCCTCCCCATCGCATAGTGGGCACACGTGATATGAAAGACAGTGCAAGACTCTGGCTTTAACTCTAGTTCCGTAGATTTCAAGTTGGATAGATGAATGTCAAGACATAGAGAATCACCCATCTTTTGGCTTTTGTTTGGATCTTGGGTAGATCCAAGACAAATGTCTGGTATGACGTTGACGAGAGGTATGTCTCATAGAACTGATGTGTTGCCTTCTTTTTCATTGCCGACTGGGGCGTTTCGGGCTCAGGTAGCCCTGAATCAGTTAAGTCACCGCCGACACCACCGCCCATCGCAGTTGTTGCCTATTTGAATCTGCGTTCAGCCATCGGAGTCGCCTTTACTGATAGATCACTGCAGCTTGGGGCAAACAATTGCAGGTAACCTACGGCCAGAAGAGCCTCTGAGCGCACACGACGGGTATTGTCCACGGTTCAATGAACTACTTCCAGCACCGTGAAAAGGACTGAAGACTACCAACTTGACACTTTCCCCAGCAGTAGTAACTGACCGCTGCATTTCGTCGACAACATAAGGTTGGCACCTCTCGTCGCCGTTATTCTTCATCACAACCAATCGACTCTCGAAGGAAGGTAGCTCTTGCCAACCGTCGACGGACAGAAGAAAGGGCCGCACCTACCGAACACCGACACCACAAGTCAAGCAGGCACCCGCCTTGTGACTGCCTACGACCATTTTCTACCTACTTCAACGACGACACACCTCCGGGCTGACTTCTCCCCCCAACACCAACAACACCAACAACCGCCTTTTCACAACAGCCAGTATCAAGACTCTCGGTGCAGGACTGCCATCTCTCCTCTCCCTCACTTATTGCAGAGACGTGCAGCTTCGACTCCAACACTGCCCAAATACGCACCACGACCAACGAGATGGATCGCTCGCCACCCCAGCCCAGGGACTGGACTCTGTCCGCCGCATCCATGATACCCACGAGGATCGATGCAACAATTCTGCCTAGGCTGTCTCAGCTTGATGCACTACAACCTACGACCCGACTGGACCAGCTTATTGGTAGCAGCATCGACCGAAATCCGGCACCTTCCCAGCCACAACCAACGAGCGACTTTATGTCCAGTCACAGGCAGCCCAAGAGAGGACTTGATCTCCAGGATGGCGATGAAGAGTCCGCCATTGACACTCCATCCTCCAAGCGACGTCGTCGTCTGATCTGCAGAGAGGGTGATCGAGGTTCCCTGATCCAACCTCAACGTGTTCCCGATCCTCGCTTTACAGTTTTGGGGAGGACCATATCACGGGAAGATTTCCTCCACTTGGAATCTGTCTTTCGGAGTCGTGGCACAAATGCTCCACCGCGGTCTCGCATTTCCTCCCCCGCTCCAATTTCTCTCCTCGGCAGACACTCTGCCCTTGAGAGAAATTATTCACGGGGAAAGGAAGAAGACGAGGTAGAATTCATCGGTTCACGGTCTGCTATCGATAGCATGGCAGAATCTCGGGCCCAGATGCTTCCAGCAACTCCCCAACCTCGATCAACCGCACCAACTCAGCCGGCCTTGCAAGCGTCATCATCTGCGCCAATGCTTGCCCACATCTCGAGCTCAGCTCCAGAGTCTTTCGATTCTTCGCCTTTGCCAGCACCCCGGTCTGATCGTCAGCGTCAACATCCCCTCAGTCTTCGAACGCCTGGCTACGCAGCAGAGGTCGGGAACGTTGCCACCCGCAATGACAGACCTAACATCATGGCATTGGCACAGGTCCATCCCATCGCCAGCCAAAACAATGAGGACGTCCGGTTTTCCACAATATTGAGCATCACGCAGTCGCTCTCGGTCCTCGATCAGATAATGCCAACCCATTGGATCCGTCGAGGCATTACCCTGCACGAGGACTTGCGCTCGTGGCTTACAATCGACATGCAACGACCTAATGGCGGCAGCGACGAGGCCTTTCGGAATTGTGTCTGCGCCGTTGACGTTCCGAGGAAGTTCTATTTCGCCGGGTGCCGCCATGTAAGTCATACACAGTCGCATTCACTCCAAATCATGACTTTGGAAAGAACCTAATCTTGTCTTGTTAGATGGCTTGTGGCGACTGCGCTCGCAAGTCTGGACGATGCTGTGATCGTGACCAGAGCATGGTACTCTGCTATCCTCCCGAAGACGCCGAATGTCCTATCTGCGAGGATACCAACCCTATCTTGATCTTCAAGTGCGGTAAGTCGTAGATGTTTATGTCGAGTTGGATAAAATCACTGACTCCAGCCACCATTCCCAGGTCACACCATGTGCCAGTCTTGCTATCTTCGGCTCTCCAGCCAGCCAGGAAACACGCTGTGTCCCCAATGCCGGGCCGACTTGGGATACGGCGCGATCGCGAGGTTCAACCCCGCGTAAACAGGCTAGAAGGTATGTGGCGTAAGGTAAACACATGGCACTGCTAGTAGATATCATTGAAGGGGGGAAGCTGCGCGCTTTGCGAAGGGACAGGGGTACTCTGAACAACAGGCTTTTTAAGAAGTTTGGAGAGAACGCAATGCATGAATTCGCGCTTATCTTTATCAATGGTTAGCAGGAGTTTATGGCGTTAATTTTACACAGCGTTTGCGGCGTGGTAGGCAGACACCCACAGTCATAGTCAAAGACATCATCAGCGTTTGGGGCATGGA